CCATCTGCCTGACCCCAGCACTGATGCTCGGGCACAACTGCCTGACCCCTGACCACCAGCTCAGTGTAACCTAGAGCTGTCCATGACTCTCTGAAGAGTATCGCTGCCCCTTTTACGATATGGAAACTAAGGCTGGAGGCCCCACAACCAATGAAGGCGCTCCTGGACAGGAAGCTGGCCAATCGAGAAGGGGACCCCGCTGCGGCTGCCAGGGCGGCCGAGGGCCTGGAGACCCGCCCTCAGGCCCTCCCTCCCTCCGCACACATCCCGACTGCCAACCGGCCGATGCCCAAGCCAGCCCCGCCCCTCCCCCTCCCCCCTGCTCCAGGGGGAACAAAGGGACAGAGGAGACCTCACCCCGCCTTCCTCCCCAGGTGTTTCCGAACAGAGTCTGGGGGCGGGGCTGCACCTGAGCCGGGCCCCGCCCCCTTCCACGGCAGGCGGCTTTTCCCTGCGGAGACTGGCGCCCCCTCCAGCCATCGCCCGTCCAGCTGCACCCACCTACGCAGCACAGCTGCCGGTAGAGGTAGCCCCTGCGGGCCTGCTCGCAGCCCCCATCCAGCCAGCACGGCCGATCCAGCACAACCTCCTTCTGCGCCTCAAAAGCGACTCCCGCCCCCCGTGTGCCAGTGGCAGCCATGAGCCTGGGTGCCCTGGGGTCTGCCCACGAGGACAGCAAACAGGACAGCGCGGCGTGTCTGCCTTCCAGCCCACGCTGCGAGGCCGCCGGCTGTGCACTGCACAGCCTCCCCCACTGCTGCCGCCACCGCAGCCGGCCTCGGGCGCTCAGCCCGGCGGGAAAAACCTGCCCCTGGCGGGCGCCCCGCCCAGTGTGGGCCTACAAGCCGCGCCCCTACTTGGAGGGAAAGGATCTAGCTTGGCCTGGGGGACTGGGGGCAGAGGGAGGCTGCTCTGGAGGACAAAGAGGCCTGGGAGCTCCCAGGACTGACATTCAGGGGACAACGCTCGCAGCAGGACTGGCGGGAGGTGGGAGGTGGTGCGAGCAGGAGGGTGGTGCCACCAGGGGGCTGAGAACAGCCAAGAACAGAACAGCCGCCAAAGCCTCAAGGGGCACCGAGGGCAGAAGAGACAGGGAGCAGGCCAGGACAGCGGCCACAGGGGAGCCCCTTCCTCACATGGGAACAGGGGACAAAACCAAGCTGAAGGAGGGAGGGAGGGCCCAACCAGAGGGGAGAAGCCCTGGCCCTTGCACTTTATTGAACGTCCCTGCAGCTGAGTCACCAGCTACTTCCCAGCCCCCAAAGCCACGCCTAGAAGCCCCGTCCTGACTCACACCTCATGTTCAGCAGGCCTGGCACCCAGGCTAAGACTAAGCAGGCCTGCTGGGGGCAGCCCTGGAAACCCCCACACCCCAGGGTATGCCCAGTGCAGACCCAAGCACAGTCTGCATGTCCTCATTGGGGCAGCTCCTCTGGCCAGAACCCCGATCCCCACTGCTACCCACTCCAGCTCATTCACTTGAGCAGAGGCAGGCCCCACCGGGTCCTGGGCTGGGCACAGCTGCCAAGGGCTGTAGCCCAGAGTGGGTGACCCGGAGCAGGGGGAGGGCAGAGCACAGCCTGGCTACCCATCTGGAGGCACTCCTGGGCCCTGGCCTTTGGTGCTCAGGCACCTGCCTCACCCTCTGCAGTGGGCAGGGAGGC